AGTCTCGATAGCATCGAGATATTTATCATCACCCCAAATAATCCAACTTAATTCCAAAATCCTTATTAATATATAATATTTGTCTCCCATCTGCGTACAGTTTTAGATTTAAAAGAATAAATAATTTAACGCTGTTCAATGATGACTCAAAAAGCTTTATTCTTAGTATTGCTTGCTACAATTTTGGCCATATTATCTGTATCTTTTTGGTTTTTGTATGAAAGTAATAGAGAGAGCAATTCAGATTATTTTGAACAAACTTTGAATAACTTTGAACAAAGTTCGAACGACTTTGAACAAACTTCGAATAAGATTGAACCAACCTCAAATGACATTGATAGTTCTAATAAATCAACCCTTACCCCTATTCTTGATGTTCCAATACCGACTCTTGCTCCTGATGTTCCAATATCAGCTGTAAATGAGCACACGAATGGAGACTCGAAAATAGAGATGGTCATCGATGCATACTTAAATATCCATTATTATACTAAATATTTAAAAATACTACGTAAACAACATAATGAAATGCTTTACGATCTTTTTCATAAAGCTGATTTAGCTGTTGCTAATACAAACGTCTATTCTGTTACATTAAAAACCCAACTTGCCCCATCTAAAGATCCACATGATTATATGTCTTTGGCTCGCTATTTTTGGCCAAACCCTGATACCAAGGATGGGTTGCCATACATTAGACGAGGTTATTCTAATCCGGAGATTTGGAGTGTGTCAGATTACACCTATTTAAGACAATTAATGAAAGATATTCAACATTTGGGATTTGCATATTTTTTTACAAAGAATGATACTTATGCTAAAAAGGCAATATATAGATTAAATGAGTGGTTTATAGATCCAAAGACAAAGATGAATCCAAACTTGAATTATGCAAGTCTTATAAAAGGTTTTGAATTTGGAAGAAGAACTGGTATTATAGAATTTCATTCCATTTATAAGTATGTTTATAATTGTTATTATGAGTTATTGAGATATAAACTTTTTTGTTAACCTTTATTTATTAAATTAATCATGTAACGGATAGAATTACTCAATCTATTTCATTAATGAGTTCTTCAAAATCTTGGGACAATAGTGTCGAATCAAACCTCAAAGAATGGTTTATCAAATACTATGAATGGCTCAAAACATCAAAATATGGTCATGCAGAACACAATTCAAAAAATCATCATGGTACATTTTATGACATTCAAGTGATTTATATTCTCCAATACCTTGGTCGAATAGAAGAGACAAAGGAATTTGGTTGGAAAGCATTAAAAAGCAGTGTTGATACAGGTATACTTGCAAATGGACAACAACATCATGAAACTTCCTGTAAGACAAGTTGGTCTTGTTCTGTATTTAATCTGCAAGGGTTGTTCTTACTAGCTGAAAGAGCTACGCACTTGGGATTTGATGGATGGAACTATAGAGGAAACAATAATCAAAGTATAAAAACCGCTGTAGATTACTTGTTGCCATTTGCATTAAATGGAGGTGAAGGATGGAAGTTTAAAAACATTGATGGATTCAAATTTAATAATTATATAAGGATTTTGGAATTAAGTTGGATTATTTGGGGTGATGATAAATATCTCGATGCTATCGAGACTCTGAAACCCAAATCAAAATTAGAGCAAGTCTTAGGCAGTCAAGAAGTATTGAATGAAAATTCTCTATGCGTTTGGTCTTTGATGAATGTAAAAAGCTTGTGGCCTTGTTTTTCTTAATTTTTTTTTTACATCAGTAGCATTTAGACTAATTCAAGTTAGTATGTTGAGCATCAAATCATTACGTAAATACGCTAATACCTAGGTATTATAGCATGAAACTTGTATACTCTTAAAAAAAGTTACGTCACTGAATTTAAATTTAATTAATAAACTTCAGCAAAAAAACTTTTTTTTTATTGCTTATCATTCTAATTGTTGACAATACAATATCGAGCAAAACACCTAAGTATTGCAGAAGTTACCGATCGCTTAGGAAATCTGGAAAATTTTAGTCGACTTAATAAGTGCTTACGATGGATACGAATAAATTCAACGATACAAGAAAGAAAATAGCAGAGGTTCTTAGTACAAAGAAAAATGCATAGACAATGAAATAATTCTAGCAATGATGAGATATGATGAAATATTGCCTACCGGTAGATGAAATACGTACATACGGTGGACCCAGTCTGTAAACTTTTCACTATGTTGTGGTTAGTAACTGGACTCGTATTAACTCGTGACTCGTGAATTAAACTCTGAAGAGTGTTCGGATCTTCGATCAAATTACTTATTCGAGTTTTATTCGATTAATTCGAATCACGACAATGAATTTATTGAAAGTTTTGTAAATTTAGAGTTACAAAAGCAAATATACTTCAAATAAAGAGTCACACAAAGCAAATATAATTTAAATTACATGTTCAGTTATTACAAATTACAAGTTATGAAAACAAATAGCATATTAATTATTCGTCAACAAATATATTTCGAATAGTGGCTTACGCAAAGCAAATATTATTTAAGTTAAATGACAGAGAATTGTCACAAAGTACAAATTATGAAAGCAAATTATTTAACTGGAAATATTGTATCTAGCAAATCCATATTTCTTTTTTTGATATATTTCATTGGCAATCATTTTTCATTTGTTCCTAAGTGACGCGAAAAAGTAACAAAGCACTTGTTATAACTAACTAATGAAGCTTTTTTAATATCTAGACAAAATAAAAACCAGTAAAATACTTTTACCGTTGAAATATTCGGGGCTTTAGGATAGGTTGGGCATTTTGGATGGGTTGATAATTATCGAGAGTAAATTCGGAAGCTAATTTTCAAAAAGCGACTTTTCTAACTTACTTTTGGTTTAATTAAATACATAAATTTCTATATTACTTAATTATAAAAAGTCATTTTATAATAAATTTTCGTATAGAATTTTTTTGATAATCCTTGATCATGATTGGTTGGGCAAAATAGCAAAATAACTAAATTAAGGCCGAAATTGATCACCTGATACTTCAGCCGGGCGATCTGGATTACGGGCATTACAGCATGGCACCAGCCGGAGTCGAACCCGCAACATTTCTGTTACGTACCACGCGCTCTAACCGTTATTCCATATCAGAGTGATCGTATGATTTTTAAAATATATTCCTTATAACCCTTAAAAACATATGAATATTCCATTCTAATTGTACGAAATTATTCAATTGTAATTAATTTTTTTCAAACTATTCACAAAGATATCTTGGTAACCATCTAAAATCGACAATTTTTTTATTTTAATTATACATTCATATAGAATCAAAATAAAAAAATTTCATCAATTTTAGATAGGTTGTTGTCGAGATATCTTCGCTCAACGTTTGGATATCAAAGTTTTTTCTAAAATTTGAGCAAAAATATCTCGGCAACCACCTATCTTAAATCGATGAATCTTTTTTTATTTTAATTTTAATGTAATATTGCATCGGAATAAAAACTTTTTCATCAATTTTCGATAGGTGGTTGTTGAGATATTTTCGCTTAAAGTTTGAATAAAACTTTACCGCAGCTTTTGATAATTGAGCGAAGATATCAACTCCCTACCTAAAATCAATAAATTTTTTTATTTTAATTATACATTTATATAGAATCAAATAAAAAAATTTTATCGATTTTAGATAGGTGGTTGTCGTGATACTTTGGAAAAATTTAGCCGCAGCTTTTGTTTTGTTAGTTATCCAAGTTTTTTCTCAACTTTGAACGAAAATATCTCAACAACCAACCACCTATCTAAAATTGATAAAAAATTTATTTTAATTATACAGACATATAAAATCAGAATAAACAAAATTTATTAATTTTAAATAGGTGTCTGTTGAAATAATTTTGCTTAAAATAAATTCTTGCTATAACTTTTGTAATTATTCAAGTTTTGAGCAAAAACATCTTGATAATTACCTATTTAAAATTAATATAAATTTTTTATTTAAATTATACAGATATAGCCAAACCTCTTTATAATCTCACCATTGGTTTTTAAGAATTTGGTGTTTCTAGAGAGTTTGTACTTATATAGAGGTTAAATTTTATAAATGATATATAAGTTGGTTTTAAAAATTTATGTAATAATAAGCAAATGTGACTATAGAGGAGGTGACTGTATAGAGGTCTAACTGTATATAATTAAATAAAATTTTTTTATCAATTTAGAATAATAATTTTGAATTAAAAGAAAATATTTAGATAGTTTTAATTTTTTTAGTAATTATAAAATGCATCTATGTGTTAAACACTATATATATTGTTTTGATTTTCAAATTGGTATAACAAAACAAAAAATAAATTTTTACAAAAACAAAAAGTAAATTTTAAAAACTTTAGTGTTAGATTGAGGCCTGAAATTTTATTGGATATCAGTATATGCAAAATTTAGTAAAATTTTTTGTTAGAGCTCCAAAAGTGATTTTATAAATGAAATTTTGAGATATTTGCATTTTTTAAAAAATAAACAAAAAACAAAATTTTATATTACATCTGATTTTAAATTTTAATTAGCTATTTAATAGATTTGTATGATATAGTATTCAATATTTATAGTAAATTTTAGTAACTCTATTATTTTTTATTAATTTTATTTTTTAAATTATTTTTATTTTTATTTTTATTTTTTTATTATATTGGCAGCCTTGGCGGTATCTTTATTAGATCAAAGCATATATATATACATATATTTAAACTATCTAAGTTA